CCGGGAGTGTGATATGTGACTGTGTTGAGCCCAATCGTGAGACGGGAGATTCTTCCGATCAGGAGATGGCCATCTAATGTGATTGCGATACCTCCGATCATGAGAGCCACCTGGAGTCTTGTGATGTGTTTGATGTACTCTTACATATGTATGTTTGATATTAGCACTGCTCATTGTATATGTATATGTATGGTTTTAGACATGTGATGTATACATATCCCGACATGCATAAATTAGGTATCATTCATACTCATTGAATTTCGTGACTTATGATTTATTATCATTCTAGATTGGATTTTCTGTTTATACCTCGGTGAGCATGCCGATGTCAAAGCGTGTCCTTGTTGATTGATCCGATGTATGAGCTTTCTTTGTATTATATTCTAGATGTTTCTTCTTATTATTTTTAAATAGATCTTAACTTGTGTATTTGGAGCCGTATGATTATTTATATGTATTTGATGATATTTTGCATGGATGGGTGTTATGAGGTTTACTAGGGTCGGTGGGTCCTAGTGTTTGTGCTGGTCATGGGTCCAGGGTCGGTCGTGACAAAGTTAATGTGTTTCCATACATTTTATGAGATTTATAAGTTTTTTATGCTTTTTTTTTTTTTTTTTTTTATCATTGTTATATGCATTTTGATAACTTTATGAACATGAGGAATGTTTATCTATGAATAAAGTGAACAGGTGATCTAAATTGAAGGATTAAAGGTGATATGAACTTGTTAAGATCTTGGACCCTCGATCCTTTGTTAAGTATACTTACGTATGTATATTTTAAAGTTTAATATATATAAAATGCTCCAATTGCCATGGATTGGACGTGTTATCATTTAGAGTCATATTTTCTCTTTTTGGCTTGTAAAATTTGTATGTAACTCAAATTTTGTCATCCAATAGCTCAATGGCAGTTTGATAGCTTTGCTTCTGTAGTATAAGTAATATTATGTCATTGATTCTACTTTTATTTGTTATATAAACTGCTTGGTAATCAGTTGTTGAGAATAGGACTTATATAATAGGTTAGAAATTAGATAGATGCTCTCTTTTCAAGGGAGTGTCTTCTGAAATTTTTAAAAATTTCAACATCTAATTTAATTTTTTAATCCATCACAGAGAGGCTTGCCAAAGATGGGTTACTCTCCTTAGTATTGGTCGCAACTTCCAAATTGGGGTCGTGACAGCCCTATAAGCTAGAACTAACCCAGTAAGCTAGAACTAACCCAGGGCATTGCAATTGCACTTTTCATAAGTGCACCCAAACACCCCCTAAATAGGGGTGAGCACCATTTAGTTTCTTTGAATTCTTTATAAAATTTGTATTGTATTAATTTTAAAAAATTTTAATATTAAAGTCAAAATTGTACATTTTGATATTAATATCGATACCTTTGATTCATTTAATTTAGTACGGTATAATTTAGACCAATTCAATTTCCAGTATTTTATCATTTTAATTTTAGGAGAAGTAATTGATTTATATATGTCTCTAAAGTGTTTCAGTTTTAGGAAACATCAATATACATATAAGACAAGATAGACATAACCTTGTAAAATTCAACTTCAGGTTCAACATGACTCCAACTACGTCATTTCAACTTGTAAAACATTAATCTTCTCATAATTTAACCTCAGGTTTAACATGACAAGAAGTTTACTAGTTTCGCAGTTACCATGAGATGAAAAATAAGAAGCCTAAATAGCTCAAAGAAAACTTTAGCTCAAGCAGTAGAGGCCGATCATAAAGTTGTGAAATTTCAAATTTGATTTTATTTTTACGGGTAGTTGAGCAGTTGCGTTTATTATTTTCCCCATTTCATCTCTAAACAGAGATATAATAAGATGCTTCCCTCAGCCTCGGAATGCAAAAAAAATAAGCTTCTCGAGTTCACATTGGAAAACTGCAGCAGTAAAAATTAAGTCCCAAAGTTATATTTTTTGTAAAAAGAAAGTCTTGCAACTTTAGACATAGCTTTTTTGTCAATTTCTTATCCTCATTTACACGGTTTTTAACAATCAATTCACAAAAACTAAGTTCATCCGGCACTCCTTTTACACCTAAACCCCATTTTAAAATCCAATCTCTGCAATTAGAATTAGATAGCTAGTAGGTTGATAAAGAAACAAAAATCCTAAAGTGGGAATTTCTCCAATATGGGTCTTTTTCCTTTGCAAGTAACTCCAAATGGGTTACGCATTAATTACAATTGGATTCATGCATACAAAAGGAATTCCTCCGGCAACTGCACGCGTCACGGTATGATCAACCAAAATGGGGATGGCTATGTTTCTACAAGTAACTCCAAAATATTTCTAAAAAAAAATAAAAAAAAAAACTACAATATTGTGGAAAAGACCGTATTTTTTTTTTTGTCGGAAATAAAAGCAAAACAAAGAAATCTGGGGGAGCTTGCGACTAGCAAACAAAGAAACAGAGCCAGAGCACTCACATTCAGCAAAACTGTAAATATTTTGGAAGAAATAAATGTTAACCTTTGGAGAGATCTCACTAGAAAATTGCTGCCAGAACGACACAGCTTATATTTCTTCTTCATATATGTTTTTGACTTTTTTATTTTTTTCAATTTACTATTAAAATATCTTATTATTTAGTAATTTAATATTTTATAAATAATATAAATAATTTGATGAATCAATATATATAATATTTGATTAGTACAAATTTTTTTCCTTATTTCAAGTTTTAAATTTATAAAATTGAAATTATATTAAAATATTCAATATTATATTACTAAATACCAAAACTTATTATTTTTTAAAAAAAATTGGTTCAATTCAATTAAATACAATTTTAAAAATCATGAATACTCCTCTTCGTAAGTGAAAGTTTGGTTTTGCAAGATTAAATAAATAATTCTCTCTTTAAGATGTTTGATTTCCCTGGTGAAAATCCCTGATCAGACGTGTATAAAAGTTAGAGACTTCTTGAAGCAGTCTCGAGAAACTGTTCTAAAACCTCCCTATCAAACCGGATTAAATATGAGCAGAAAAAACTACTTTCCGTCAAAAAAGTTAAGAATTTGTATTTAAATATTTTATAATACAAGTACTTAAAATTGAAATGTATTTAAATATTTTAAATTCGATATTTGATGATTCTTACCTCCTAATATACTAAATTCAACAAAAAAAATGAAAATAAATTTTTAATGAAATAAATTCGGTTATTCTGAAATTTTGAATGTGATAAAAAAAAATTTAGTTTTCATTTCTTTTCTCACATATTTATATAATTTAAATTCTAAGAATTGACTACTTAACTACTTCAATACTAAAATTTATGTTAAAGTCCTTAATTTTTAATTTTATTACACAAATGCTGAAAGTCAACATATTTTTTGTTCAATAAATCACCAATGCGAGTGATACTATGAATTGAAGAAAAATGGTGGATCCTATTTCGTACAATGGAGGGAAAGGAAAATAAACGATACAATGAAAAGGAAAGGGAGAAAAATGAGATATTATCATTTATATTATTTGGTATAATCATAGGAAAAATAATCAATGATTTATTTTCTTTGCTTAGTTTTCTTTAAAGAAAATAATAAAAATACATATAAATAAACGCCAAATTTGGAAGTTCGGAGAAGTCAGATTGAAAGAAATTAAAGTTCTAAGTTTTTAGTAAGAGTTTATTTTAACAAATTTAAAATTCGTAGATTTTAAAATAGTATGGACCAAATTGAAAGAGAGAGGCTTGAGCGATCAATATGCAACGCAGCAAATTGCACCATTCATTTCTTCTTTCAAAATCCTCTACTCTAGACACCAAGGTGGCATTGATAGCCGATCGAAAAGAGGAGATGAATAGTGCAATAGAAAAGAGGATTTCGCCAAAATTGCACATATGGAATCACACAGACTATTGACTGTGTTCTGTCACTGGCTGCATCGACAAGCAATATAGAAAAGGTAAACAAGGGACAGAGAGAGGTTTTGTCATCGACATGCAACATTGAAAAGGTAGAACAGGGGCAGAGAGGTTTTGTTATTTTCTGGGATTCTCGATCGAACACAATAGTCAAAAGAAGACAGCTAAAAGGAGTTCAAAGGAGAACCCAGTCGAAGAGGCGAAATAGATGAAAAAAGGTTACGAGTTCCTAGGTTTCAAAGGATAAGAAACAGTTCTAGGTTTCATACATTTCCTTTCCCTTCCAATTCGCAGTTCAAGGGATAGACTGACAAAACATGGAGCCCACAGAAAACGGTACCTTGCCATGTCACTTCATTTATTGATACCAAATAGGGGAGTATCCTTTCTTCAACCATCTCCTTTCCTTCCACTCTAAAAATGCATACCAAACATACAGGAAAAGAATTTTGGTACCCCTAACCATAAGTAATTTTTAATTGATCTATCACTAGTCAACAGAGAATTCTTCACTTATAAGAAATTTAAAGAAAAAAATAGAAATTTCTCTTTTTAAATCACTTGTTTAAGTTGAATTTTAAAACAGAAAAAGAGAAAAATAGAAAGAACTCTAAATTTCTTATAACCTCATTTTGGATCTTTCTTAATTCGAGAGCTTAACGGGAGAAAATGAATGTTCTTATTTGAGATTCTTAAATACCAAAATTAATCCCATTAAACATAGAATCAAGAACATTAAATAATAAATATGTCCTAATCACTTTTGATAAATTAACTTCTTATAAAAATTTATCCAAATGGACCCAATATCTAATCACGTCCCATCAACATGCTATTTTCCATTATGCAGTTAGTTTTCATATTATTAATTTTTTCCAATATTTTCACTTATTGAAATTTTAACGTAATATTATACTCCCAAGTTATAAGATTATAATAGACCAGAAAAATTATCAGAAGGTCATATATTAACATCACTAAACACAGGATACTATTAACATCTCAACCAACAGAAAGGCCCACACTACCAGCTTCTCGTGCCCAAATACGCATTAATTACAAGGAGAGAGAGAGAGAGAGAGAGAGAGAGAGAGAGAGATTTAGTAAAACTCACGATCAGCTATGATCAAAGGAGCCACCAGGGTCCAGATATAAAGTCCAGCAGTGACCCACTCAGTGGCGATTCGAACCCAGACTGAAGTCCAGCCCACATCAATGAGTTCTGTACTTTCATCAGAGCTGGTCCATCCTGAAAGAAGCATAGCAGAGTACATGCTAGCCAGGGCAAAGATCAGATGGAAAAAGGTATAGGAGTAGCTTACTGGCCGTGGCTCTGTTTCCTTCTTCTCTTTCCCTTCCTCGGCCTCTTCCGAATTAAGGAGGGGTTTCTTTGCACCTGCAAGGTAAGGCTTTATGTTGAGAAACTGTGCAATGACCAAATTCAACGTCCAGGACTCTATTTCTATGACAAGCATCGGCTTTCACATGGGATTTTAACAGACAAGAAGGATTCGGTAAGATTGTCACAGATAGCAATAATCCTAGGAAACATATGCGCAATAACTGGAATTGCAACTTTAAAGACAGTGAAATTAGAGAATCCCTCAGCAGAACTCTTCTAATACTTAACATCCATGTTTAGGTTTGCTTAAACCAAGCACAGATGTGGACACATGTCATGTCAGACACAACATGGATACGAGGATACGACAATTTTCAAAAAGGATAGGATACAACATGGTGGAGACACAGCAAAACATATCTACCATATTTACCATATTTATATATTTTGTTACATAAATCTAAAAACAATGCATAAGGACAAAACCAACTCCTAAAAGGAGGGGGAAAAGTTCAACCAATTAAAGCATCTAATCAATATCTTCACCCTAATTTTAGAAACTAAGCAAATCATTCCTCTTCAAATAGTCCAACCTTTTTTATATACTTGTCTTCAGAGTTTCCTCAGTGTGTTGAGGGGAAAGGAAAGTAAATAAAATTTAGCACTTGTTCAACATGGACAGTTCAACCTTCTAAAATCATTCATGATCCTTGGGTGCTTCTTAGGTACGGCACTAAAAATGAATGGGAAAATCAAATTCTGCAGCAAATGTTATCGTTTGGTAAGATTCTAGCTTAGATCTTGCATAACCCTATGTAAGGCTGATGAAATTTAAGCTTCTAGAGAATTTATTGTGTGTGTTTCTTCTAGGCCTAGGTGTCATGGGCTGAAGGGCTGCAGTAGATTTTGTTTTTTTGCACTTTTCAGGTTATGTGTAACAGGCCAAGTTTTACTTTAAGAGGCACAAAGACAAGTTACAGCAGCAGGTTGCTTGCAAGCTATCTGGTTGTGAGCTGCTTGCAATTTGTGGCTTGTGTTTTAGGAGCAACTACTTCACTATGAAGAAATCTACCTGGGCTACCATATAAATGCTGCAAACTATTAAGCATGGACTTTTATCGGCTGAAAAAAAAAAAAAAAAAAACTAAACTACAGAAGTATGATGCATCTTCTAGGGTGTGATTGCCTACAAAGCACAGGTGTGATTGCTGGGCTACTTCCCTCTCTACTATTCTACTTCCCTGTTTTTCTAAACTTATTTTCTTTTGTAACCCACTGTTCCTACAACCAGCAGCTTGCTGAATTGGCTTATATTCAGCTCCTCATTTCATCAGCTAGCCTCCTAAGCATACTCTACTTGGTTTCTCTTGGAACCCGCCAATTTTAAGACAACCCAGAGCTTAATTGGTGCCGAATTTGAAAAAGTCTATCTTCTTTAGAAACAGAAAACCCATTGGCAGCCTGACAGGTTAATTTCAAAAACTGTTTTCCAGAAACCTTTCAGAAAACAGGCCCCTTCATAGGAAAACAATAAGAAGTTATTTTCTGAATTGTCAGAAACTATTTTCACTCCAAAATGAAAATTATATGAAAACAGCAGAGTTTCCAGGATTCATTATTTTCTGTTTCTGAAAACACAAAAAAAACAAAAAATGAGAACAGAAAACAAAATAAAATACAAGCAGCCCCAAATTTTGAAGTACAATTTGGTCTTCGAGCATTTTAAATATTTAGTGACAGAAGCAACACCAGTTACCAAATTCATTAGATATTAGATACCTGACTTGGGTGAAGATGGCGGGGACAGAAACGTTGTTGAAGATCCCGCACGAAGAGCAGAGTAAAGAACTGAGAGAACTGTTGTCAGCATCCCGAGAATAAGGGTACTAGTTGAGACTGCAGTGGATTTGTTATGCAGACCATTGCAAACATAATCTCGAGGTTCACAGGACAGAGCCGTGTAACAAACATAACCACAGTATACAGATACCACCGAAGCAGGCAAGAGGCTGCCATTCACCTGATTAGAATCACAATCCCAAACCAAACAGAAGGACATATGAGAGTCTGTCATGAACTAAATCATCAATCAAGTTCTCGCTGCATCATAAAAAATGATCAGATTCTCAGTCAAAGCTTTAGGAATAACTGATTTTGCTCTATGATTAAAGAAAATAAAATGCTAACTTTGGAATGACTTCATGGGTCCAGCGAGTTTAAAAAACAAAACACAGATGATCCTTATAATTGCAGACCCAAGCACTCTAGCAAAATCAGAAACATACCAAAAACAGAAAAACTTATTTAGATCCAAGAAGAAATTACCAGCCAGGAGAGTAACTTTTTGAAGAATTAATGATCAGAACAAAACACTTGCATAGATAAGCAATTTGGTGTCAATAACAGGAACTCAAGAAAATAATTTGCTGAAGCTTTATATATGATACTCAACTGGAAACCAATATACAGTAGAGATTCCAACATAACGACGTATACTACAAGAACCAGCATCTGCAAAGACCCATTCTACACAAACACTCTAATAAAAGCAATAACATCCAAAATTTTAAATTTCCTTAATCCTTACCATTACCACAAAAGGAGAAAAAGAGTTCCTTGCCTTATTTTATGACAGATCAAACACAATGCCTTGAAAGAGCAAATCACTAGAAAGTGTAGCCATTGGCTCATTAGATGCTAAAATCCAATATATACCATTCTCCAAACCCAGCTTCCGGACAAAACTTTTAACCAATCAAGGAATATTAAATTATATGCATACTCTTCCAACTCATGCATGGTCTACATTCAAGCATTAGTGTTTTCCAATTCATTCGCAAATCAAGATATTCCCCTCAAAGGGAAACAATAATCCCACATATTCTTGAAATACACATGACCGATTAACACAATACACTTCAGATATTTTCAATTAAGCAGCTCAAATATTAACATTAACATATTTCAAAGCTTTATGTTGCTTGCTTCTTGTCTGACTAACTATCAAATTCAAGCAGCATGCAAATCCAGTCAATGCCATATCCCATGGTTCAATTGAAAATACTTCACCTACAAGTGATGTGATCAATAAATTATTCGCATGGAGTAGCAGACCAATTATTCAAGACTTGATAAAGGCATTTTGGTCACTTTCTACACCTCAATTTCAAATTTTCTCATCTCAATAGAAAGACTAGGTTAATATGGAAGCAGATCTAACATAATATAATAAGAGACAAAATAAATAAATAAATAAACAGAGCTACTAGTGAGCAAATAAAAAATATCAAAGCAATTCAACACCAATATAAAAATATAATTTCATTACCTGCGGATGCAATGCAATAACTGCAAAGGAAAATGCAAGAATCATTGTCATAACAAGAAAGAAGACGTTGAGACCACAGTCATGGCCACCTGGATTGAACCAAATAAACAATACTCCTGGAATTGCAAATGCTGCGATATAGCACACAACTGATATAGCAAGTAAAGCAATATACCTGAGAGTAAGAACATGCAGGATAATGTTATATATCAAAGAAAACTAAGATGCAGACATTGAGAGTAATATGACATGGAGTCTTGGACCAACCATTTCTGTTCATCTTAGCAACCCACGCATCATTCCACGAGTGTGTAGCATCTAATAGTATTATAACTTGAACCAACAAAAATAAGCCAGCCCCAAATTTTGATAGAACTCCTGCCAACAAAAAATTCTTCTACTAGTCAACTCTGAACCAGCGTATCAGATAAAAGAAAAAAAAATGAACAGTGTTTGATAGTTAGAAGTTCAAAAGTCAAAAAGTGCATGAAATACTCAAAAATGTATAGTGAAAGAAAGCCAACTATATCATGCTTAAAGTTTACTCAAAGAACATATGGTGTCACTTGACAATTTGATGGATCCCAATGAAATTTCCAGGTTGATAACATTACTGAAATTATTGTATTATCAATATCTGCTTTAGGCCACAACACAACCATTTACAAGAAAGCTAAAATCTTAAAATGCTAGTGTTGTTAAAGGCGCAATAAAGGAGCTAGGTGCACCAAGGCGCATCCACTCTGCCTTGATCATATCAGGGCAAGGCAACTTCACTAAGCGGCACCAAGAGGGCAAAGGTGGAAGGCTCAGGCATTAGTGAAGGCGTGCCTGTGGAAATCTGACAGCAATCAACAGCTTACACTCAACCCCAGGTGGATTTGTTGACTCAACTGGAAGTAGTTTGAAGATGTATTGCAAGGCATAAGAAGCTTCTCCAGTTTCGATTAGATCATCTGAAGCACGAGGTTTCTTTGATTCACCTGGAAGCTTGAAGTCACACCATCCGCTTTGACTTGACTCGTGACCAATGACTTCAACTTCGGCAACTAGTGATTCAACCAATTACAACATCGACTTCAAGTCAACTTCTGCTATTGACTGCAGCTTTAACTTCACTGTAAAGCTAGCGAGAACACACATCGGTAATTTCTACTTAGGACTTCAACTTCTAGACTTTAGAGTTTGATTTCTATATTCTACTGCCCAAGTTTTCACAAGCAATCATTTCCTTTTTTTCCAACAAAGTCCAAATATTTAATTTAATTTCAATAATTATTTATCTTTAATTTTATTTCCAAACTTTTTTCTGACTTACAGTGTTAGTTACACACCTTTTAACTAAATGATCTTCCAAAGTCATAATTCGATATGTTTTAATGTTTTATACATCTGACTATATGTAGAAAAACTACTTATAATATGTATTTATATATATATTATATATAGTGTGCCTTAGTTCTTTAAGACTCGCCTTGCCTTGTGCCTTGAGCCTCTAACAACATTGCATCACACAATATTACAGCCATTTACAGGAAAGCCAAAATCTTACAATACCTTTCTTTTGGTATTCACCAATTTGGTCACTGTCATTGTTTGGTTGTTATGTCACCATATACTAGGAATACTGATAAGTCCCAGTTCTCATCCGGTAAAGATTTTGGCTATTGAAAAATCACCTCTATCTACCAGGTGAAAAATGTATGCAAAACATCAATATAGTTTCAACTTTCAATAAGAAGGCTGTTCAATAGTATTACTAGTTCTTTCTGATGTTAATAACAAGATCAGACTGCATGTTTCTAATTTTTCCAACGGGTATTCTATGAAAAATACCATAGTTATCACTTCTATTAAAATGAAAAGAAAATTGTAAAGCCCTAATATGTACGTATATATGTCATAACAATTGTTCCACTCATCAAGCTCAAGAAAGGCAGTAGTAGAATAATTAAATGCACCAAAGTAACATTCAGCCATGGAGGTAAAACTGACCATAAATGATACAACTACATTTGGCATGAAAAACATAAGAATGACCAGTAGAACCCAAATCACCATCTTAGCAGTCCATCCACCATGGTGCCATGAATCACGTCTATCGTTTTGATCTTTCACACCTATCATTATAAGAGCAAGTATTCCAAAAAAACAAAAAGTTCCCCAAGCTAACACGAAGAACGGCTTGTATTTGATACCATTCTTTTGAATGAGAGTCGGAAGTATTTATCCCTGCCAACAAAACCAAAATGTTCTCATTAACATGAACAGCCAGTGAATTGTACAGGACTAACAATGTAGAAGACCTGGTGAAATTCAAATCAAATGTAACAAAGGTATTAAGTGATATACAGTGCAAAACAAGTTAAACATCAATAATTGTAAAGACAATGCTCTTTCCCGGTGGGTTATATTCCTTTCCCTTCTTTTTCAATGCTTTTTATCATCAGTATAAAACACAAATTTGTATAGCCACAATCCATAGTGACAGCCATATCATGCTTTTGCTACCACCTCCAGTTTGGAGATTAGAAGTCACCATGACTTGGGTCATCTAGATATTACCAAAAAATTAAGTTTAGCTGACAAAATCAGAACTTAAAGTTAAAATTTAATATAGGTTAGGTTGGACCATAGGTTGGATACCACAGACTTTGCTATTTGCCACCACTACATGATTTATGAAAAAGAGAAACCATAACTACACAAACAACGGTTCCCTTCTTTGAGACAACAAAGAGAGGGAATACCTACAAAAGATAGATGCTTGCCACCAGTATTTGATACATAGAGTAATGCGTGGATAGGTAAGATGGCAAAAGGAAAAACCTCTCAAAGTAACACATATTGGAGAGGTAAAGAAACAAATGACTTCCAAAGACATATATTTACATTGTTGAAATTGTAATAAACCATGAAAATGGACACCAATATAGCAAATAGATTATTTCTAAATTACAGCAGGACCAGCTTTTTAAGCCCAAACATGGCCCTTCACAAAAACATATACATAAAGCAAGTATTTACGATACAAGACATTCAATTCTATTTTACAAGATGAAAACTTTTCTATTCCGAATATTGTATACAGAGAATAAAAGGTTATATGGATAAAGATCAAGCATAACAGGATAAATTAAAAGCTCAGATGGTTTTGCGCATACACGGAAAAGTAAAAATGTAGAAAGAGTTTTTTTTTTTTTTTTTTTTTTTTTCAAGTAAGATTGATATTGTCCATTTTAAGAGTCAGACTAGGGTAACAGCAAAATCAACATTAAATCACGTTGACATGATTTTAAAAAAAAAAAAAAAGACACCTATATTTCGATTCACCTCAAGTATTGCATTTGATAAAGTAGAATGAAATGTAATACGCATAACTAAACCATATATTTAGGAGGGAAAGAACCATAGATGAATTGAATTGATTTGTCAAGCGGGGGATGGGGGTGTCTTGCAGCCAGCAAGTCCGCCAGATATAGCATCCATTTAGAAAGTTCGTGTTCTTTAAAAAGCCTAAAGAAGACAAAACTAACAACTGCTCTTCCTTTTATCCTCCACAGACGTGAATTAACCTAACAGGAGAAAACAAGAAGAAAGTCAATTAGATGTATTCAATAAAAACGCAAATGTTCAATCATCCAAGCTGTGACCCAGAATACCCAGTTCAAAAACACCTCAAGGATCACCAAAAAGAGGAATTCCACGGCCAATTGGGGCAATCAATCATCTAATGCACAAAATTTTCATATGAATGAATACTTTAATGAGTATGAGTTCTAAGTGCAAAGCAAATTGGGAACAGGTGAAGAAAAATATGAGAAGGGTAGAGATAACTGAATGCTCACAGGGTATTTTCTCCAAGAGAGGAGCTCCAACTCTCTGAGAACCCACGAAACAATCAGTGATACACCGAAGAGGCCGCAATAGGCGAGACGAGCGAGCGTTTGGAGATCCCGGAGGCCATCGACGTGCAGAGACCGCACGTCAGAGAAGCACAGCAAGAACATAAGCACGACATCTCTCTCTCTCTCTCTCTCTCTCTCTACTTCCTTTGCCCACTTGCTGTTTCTCGACTGAACTGGGTGTATAATCTGGACGGATCGGGAATTAGAGAGGTTGGACCGGACTGTTTGCGATCGTTTATCGAAACTTGACGTGTTGGTATCCTCTAGAATTTCATTGTTACGTCATTGTATTATATTTGTTTAAACAATTGACTTTTTAAGTTTAGAAAGAGTTTTGGCTAGGCATGTAAATGGATGAAGTTTTGAGACGTTGAAATATTTATATTTATAATTAAATAAAAATTAATATTTATATTTATATTTATATTTAAACAGATAAAAAATTATTTATTTATATTTATATTTATTTAAATATTATTTATATATTCATATCTATATTTATTTAAATATTATTTATTTATACTTAAATTCATATCCATGTTAATACTAATTACCTATATTCATATCCATTTAGTAAATAATTTTGCATATAATTTAATCATAGAAGTTAAAGAGATTTCAACTGAATTGTAATTTTTTAAAAATTTTAAAAGTTAAAAAAAGATAATTTTTTAACAAAAATGGATAATTTTAATCATTAATTGTAATTTTTTTTCAAAATTTTAAAAGTTAAAAAAAGATAATTTTTTAACAAAAATGGATAATTTTAATTCATTAATTGTAATGAGAAAAGTTAAAAAAGTTAATGTTGTTTAGAGAAAAAAAAATTAAAAGCATATTTAAAAAATTTTTAAATTATCAAATATTTTACTTTTAAAGTATTAAGAAATACTGTTAAAAAATATTATTTATTTTATTAGGCATAAAACTATGATCTCTATTTCTGATAATTCAACATTTGATAAAATTTTGTGGGATTTGAATTTTAAAATTTTATATTTAACATTTGGATTAAAAAAAATTAAAAAACATAATTTAGATTTCATGAAATTTGATAGAATTTTACTTAATTTGTTAAAATTCTATGCAATCTTGTCAAAATTGATAGGATTTGATATAAATTGGATTTAAAAAAATTTATTTTAAGAAATTTAAATTATTAGCATTTTTTTTACTAAATTCCATGCTAATTATTTAATCTATTTTTTTCAATTTATAATTACTATTTTATACAAGTGACCATAAATACGAGAGATTGAATTATAGAAATTGATCATATATACATTAACCTATCAAAGCATAGTATGTGTAAATTGTTTGCATATTTTTTCATTCACAATTATTTTTGAAATAAATAATTTCAATCTGTACAGCACAATTTAATTGTACATATTAAGCAGATAATATTAAAAATATAAAACTTTCAAATTGAATAGAGTAACAAGGCAATTTAGATTTTCAAATATCAGTTTTTAGAAAATTATTTTTAGCCTATATTTTATAACCATTTAAGAAAACAATAATTCGTTATTACAAATTTCTATCATCTTAACTACTATGTACTTTATTCTAAATCAATCAAAAATTTAAAATATTTTTTAAATTGATTTGAATTAATTCATTATAATTTTAGAAATATATTTATTATAATTATAATTTTTATTAGTTTAAATTATAGTTTTATTAATAATGGTATTTTTTGTTTTGTTTAATATTTATTTTAGATGTTAAAATTGAATAATAATTTGATCACTATACTATTAGTGTGGTAAACACATGTAAGTTATGTTTTGTACAAGTTCAAAACTATTTTTTTGTTTGTCAAATATTTAATAGAATAATTATAAAATTTGAATTTGTATAATTGTTAAAGTTTAGTTTCACCATTGTAATTTAATTTTATTATATATTATTTTTCAATTTAATGATTACATATTTTTATATAAATAGTTAAATTTTTTCATTTTTGTAAAATATGTTTTTATAATATTTCAAAAATCTTTTGAATTCCCAATATTATATATGTTAAGAATGATGATATTCATATAAGAAAAATATCTTACGACATTATACATAAATATATATATATTTATATATACATGTATATATATATATTTATATATATGTATATATGTATGAAATTTGGACATATAATATGGGCAATTAGATATAGTTATACAGATATATGAATACGGGTATACGGATATGAGTTTGGGTGTTCAGGTATTATTATATAAAAATCATATCTGAACCCGAATCCGAAAAAATATAATAACTTATAACTAAACTCGACTCAAAAACTAAATTATAATAGCCGAAT